GGTGCTTTCTTGATGACCACAGGAAATGAAGAACAGTGCAAAGTTAGGTGCCAGGTGGATCCAGTGTTTGAAAGAGACTAAACCACAGAGGCCCCTGGTTCCAGAACTTGGCCTTGACCTAGTCAGTAAAGTTGGGCATCACTTAGAGGAGAGGAGTCACCTGAGGGGCACAATCTGTGGCTCTATCTAACAGGAGCAGTTTTTCTCTAAACCTGTATCAAGCTGCCTTAGTGGACGTTTATCGGTAATGCACAACTCTGACGGTGTTTCCCACTCCACCACCTGTTTAAAGCCTTAACCTCTGCTCTCACAAGTCACTCTGCCATGCTAAGGGAGACAACTTCTCCAGACGTTGCTGCTCGCACAAAGGTCACAGCAGCACTTCTCAGTGTTGTCTGGGCTTCCTACGCACCACAAGACTTCCTCAGCTGTAAAACAAGATAACGTCCTCTGTAAACATCGTTATTGGAAGGCTCAGTCCACCATGTCTGTGACACGTCTTGAGACTGTCTGATAGAAACAGTTAAAGGAGGACAAAATATAATTATATTAAAAGTATCTCACAGTGAGTTCCCATCTAGCTTATCTGATGACTCACCAAGGCTCTTTCCTGACAGTACCTAATACATACTTTGGAATTTAAATAGCCCAGTCTAGCCGTAGGTGCAGACTACTGCAACGATGAGACTTCACGGCGAACACCTGGTTGGGCAGCTAGCTGCACGTGAAGCCAGACAAATAAAAGAGCTCCATGAGCTAGCATGGGAAACATCACTTAATGGTGCTGTTTACCACCCTGGAGCATTAATTGCAGAGAGCATCAGGCCTTCTGACTCTGAGGAACACTGTAGGATCAAAAAGTGATGCTAGCTCGAGGCCAAAGAATTGTTTGACGCAAAAACTCAGGCAGTACTGGGTCTCACCACTTCTTCTGCATCTGATGAACAGGTAACAGCATGAGGCAGAGAGCTCAGCTACCGAGCTGGACGTGTGTCAAAAGTCACAGAAACTGGGTGTGTGTGCATGTGTATGTTTTCACTGGCTTTCAGTAGCTTGGGAGCAGGCACATGAACCTGTGAACTAGTAGAAGACATGTCTAAGTAATATCCTCCTGCTGCAAGCATTTAACCCTGCAGAACTTCTATTCCGTCTTGCACGAGGGTGTTTGAGTTAGACAGGTTTGTTCTCACCCAGTGAAAACCAGCACATCTGTCCTAAGCCATACTCTTATTTTTTCCCTTGGAAGTAAGGTGCAGCTCCATGAACCTAGCAGACACGTCTTTTGTAGGCAGGAATAACACTACCTGCATTGGAGTTTTGTCCTGCAAAGGCTGAGTCCAAAGCAGTTTGGCTCTTGACACTTTTGTGCTTCTGTAGCAACTGCTCCCTTGGGTTTCTCCCAGCACAAAAGGCCTTCTACAGCCCTTCCAGGCTTTGTACACAGCCTTAGGACATAGCCCAAAAAAAACATGAGCTGTAAACAATACCCAAAACGTGAACAAGAAGGTAGCACCCCCAGATGTGCTAAGTGGTACATCATAATTAGAAACTAGCTAGCGTTGGATGAAGGGAGAGAGAGATCAGAGGAAGCTTGTGGCTCATTGCTTGGTGGTTCTTGATTTTGATTTTTTCTTTTTTCTCCCCTCACCCATCTTTGTTTGGTGGCTTTAGCTTATCTACTGAGATGAACTACGCAAAGAATGAAAAGAATTATATACTTGGGCAGCAGGAGAGGTAAAGACAAGCCAAGGAAACAGCCTAAAGCTGTAATCAGCAGTCTGTTTTTATTACTCTGCAGTATACTTTGCTTCTTATCACACTGAGAAGCCTGGCTTGCAAGTTTTCAAACGGTCATGTCCTCAACCAGTTGGTAGTTGCTACTAGAAAGAATCTTTTTCATTACAAACCTTTCTAAATCCCCCCCCAAAAAATACATACCGTTTAGGGGATCTCATCACTTCATGCACAGTCCTGGATGAGATGGCAATGGTTACTGATGCTGGTAAAATAAGGAGAGGTGATGGTGGGAGGGGTCTGACAATTGAAAGCTTCGATGTTTCAATCACAGTAATTTGCTGCAGGTGGGATCCTACATCAGGTCTCTGGCTGGAGCCACTGTGACCAGCCCAATGAACTCAGCAACACCCATCTCTGCCAGGTTACCATTTAAATACACAACCCAGATACAGACAAAGACCAAAAAGGAAGGCTTAAAATTAATTTTCTTAATTTTATTTCATGTATCTAATTATTTATTTATTTATTTAGGAAACAAGCCACACAGTCCATGGAAATTAAGTGTTTTGCTCAAGGTCACAGCACTTACACCAGAGATATGTATTTCCTACATTTCATCCCAGCGTTCCAGTCACATCATCTTCATTCCTGCACGGCTTAGCAAAAATCAATTTAGAACGAGTATTTTCAGACTCTGTTTGCATACCCCTACACCTGTACACAGAGAATACCTTTGAGAAGCACCTGAGGTGTGCCTGTGTAACACAAGTTCAAGGAAATAACAATATTAATATAATATCGTTGCAATAACAATATTAATATTGTTAATGATTAATATTATTGCAACAATAATAGGAATATTGTTATTAATATAATAATAATATTATTAAAGTAACTGTTTCTACTGACTACCCCTGTTCCTTAAAGTGCAAACACGAAAGCACGTGCTCCCACAACTGATTGCTCCCAGTCCTCTGGGATCCACCCAAGACCAGCTGCAGCTCCTGACACGCTCCGTCTGTTCCTCCAAGCAGAAGATAAAAATAACAGCAAGCCACCCACTCACTTTTAGAAGCCAAGCCCTGATCGTCATCCCAGCACGGTGCTGGGTCCTGGCACGCTCAGCGCCTCGCACACCCAGCGTTATCCTTGCAGAGGGAGGAGTGTGGGCATGCGTGGGGCGGCACAGTTTGCCCCGGGCGCTCGGCTTTGGGTCGGACCCAGCCTGTTCCATGCAGCAGGCACCTCGGTTGGAAACCAGCCTGAGAATCACCGAAACTCCGACAGGGCAGTGGTCTGCTCACACTGCAGCGCAGCGACCCTGGTCTTGTCCGTGGATAAAGGGCTCAAAACGTGCCTGTATCTTTAGAGCATGATCAAAAAGCAGATCAGCGTTGCTCCGCTGACGGCCCGGGGAGAGGGTCTTCACTAGACCCAAAACAAGGACTTGTTCCTCAGCGTGTTAGCGAGTGTAACGCACCCTGGTATGGTACCAAAACGTTGTTAATTTTCAGCCCAGTTTACCAAAGTGCTTATGCAAGTGACTAAGGGAAGAAGACTTTTAAAAATCTGATTTACATCCATTCATCAAGCATCCTGCTTTGTCAGCTGCAGACAGTGTGTGCTCCCAGCCTCACTCATCCCTGCACAGCAACATAAATAGATGGAGGAGTAAGGCATGCTGGCATTGCCCGCTCGGTGTAGGGTATGGATTGTTATTGTTATGGCATACGTGTGCTCTGCTGAGGGAGCTACACCCTTGAGATGCACATCTGGGAAAGTTTAGTCTTAACCTGCATTCTCCATTGAGGTGTTCGTCTTCCAGAGTCACTCATGGAGCTCTTCAGGAACCCACTGGAGGAACAATGCTCTAGACCAGATCCTTCTAGCTGTGGAAGGATCAGGTCACCTTAGTTTTAATTCTAAAACTGATTCAAAATTTTGGTAATTTCAACATGCTTCGCTTATTCTTAAAAGCCTCCTTTTGCATCTCAGCTTTCTAGAACTGAACAGCGTAACCTGAAGCAGAGGAACGTGAAGCCAAAGCGAGTTGTATCTGGCTGCCACTCAAATCTGTGGGATTCAGACACTTCTTTGTCCTGAGAGATGAATACGGTTCCATATATTCTGAGAGTGAAGTATCTCGACCATTTTTAAGGGACTTTCTGATACCATCATGAAAAAAATCCACAGACCATCTTGTGTTGTTTTTTTGAGAAACCAAACAAAGAAAAGTAGTATTTGCAACAAATAAGAACTAGATTAAATTTTGAATGTTTGTCTGTTACCCCCCCAATACACTTGTTTCCTTTTCTGCACAGGAGTGTAAACTTGTTGGTTTTCTTTTCTGGATCATAGACTGATGTCCTATGAACCACAAAAGGTTTGCAGGTCAAATAATATTTCTCTGTCAATCACTACCAAAAGCTGCAAAGAATGAAATTCCTTCTCTGTGACAATCCATACAGTATTACTTTGAACAATTGTATAGGAGCTTGAAGCAGACACATGATTGTATAGGGTGGTTCAATTAACTTATAAACAGCTTTCAGGCTTTCAAACTTAGGATTTTTCTGTTGTAACAATATTTTCTCAACCAATCACAAGAAATTTGACTGTCAATCTTGTTCCTGCTGTTAATCTAAGACACTTTCAAATTATTTGTCCTTCATGAAGGAACAAGAGAACAATAACTGCTATTTTTAGAGGTCCTGAAATTTTGTTTCAGAAGATCTGCTGCCTTGGGAGAACATGGCCAGTACATCTGCACAAATTGGACCAGATTACAAAGAGTGATTAAAAAAACCTCAAAGCTACTTAAAAAAACTGCAAGAATTTACCAGAAAGCAGGTGGCCTTCCCCAGTCCAGGGAAGATGAAGATAATAATAATAAGCATTTCTCACATGGCTTCCCTAGGGCAGGCACAGGCAGGTGTCCTCGGCCACGCTGTCCCTTATCAGGAGCATTCCAGCCCGTCCTGTTTGTCGCAGAAACCGGCCGGAGCGGGAGCGCACTCGCAGCCCGTGGAGTGATTCAGTGGTGATGGGGAGAGGCAGGTGGAGCAGGTAAGTCACCTCAAGACAGGAAGGTATAAAAGATACTTGAATTACAGCGGCAGGGTCACTTGTACACAGGGAGCTGTTAGAGGTTACTTGTCTTGCCAGACCTCCTGGGCTTGGAAACAACTTGGGAAGCTACTGGGGAGCTCAAACACCAGAAGGCGGCTTATAGATACAAAAGACCCTGAGCCTAAGGCTATCCTCTGGAGAGAAGACTCTTCAGGGAGAGAAACCAAGAGCCCAGAACATGCTTCTCTCCTTCTAAACAGCACTCTGAACAGGTATTTATAGACTTTAATCTGCTGTACACCTCTTAACTTGCTGTGCATTCAGTTGCTCTGTTAGAGCTAGCACTAGGGAACTATATTCAGAACAGCATTGGCCACTGTCTCAGCTGTGTGTTCTCTTTTGTCTGGTTTTATAGTGTGGAAAGAAGTTTTCTAAAACTTGTTGGAAAGTAAAAGCTACTTTACTTAGTTTTAGGTCTGAGTTTATGTGCCTCCCTGAATGGTTTAGTTTCCAGAAAGCCCAGGTAAATAGCTGGGAAAGTAAGGGAAATGGCTGCAAGTTCTGAAGAAATGCAGTGTGGTCATCGAGGGTTGAACAATTGAAGATATTGTCTTGTAAAAAAAATAATAAATAAATAAAATAATGTGTTCATGCAGTGTAAAAAAAAACCTACAGAAAAACAAAGAAATGAAACCCTTAAACCCTAACGAATTCTATTGAGATTCCACACTGCATGTCTTCTCTGGGACTCTCCAGCTTTTGTGACTGGCTCTCATTTAGTAGTACAGCAGTAGTGCCCAGGAGAAATCTTGGTCCACGCATTAGCTGCTGCCCAGTTTAACTTTCTGAGCATCAGCACTATGGCAACACACCAAAAGACACAAGAAGCAGACAGGGGCTGACCTGTCCAGTGTGGCAGAGTATGAATTAAAACTATCTTTCTCATGCCTCAGCTCTATGCCCTGCTCTTCATATCTTCCCAGTTTAGGTCAAGGTGCCATGTAACACCAAGATGTTGATAAAAATAATCAGACTCTAAATTTATTAAAATTTTTATTATATGTATTTATAGTGTCATGATCACCTTTAGCAAAGGGGGAAATGTGAGCAAAAGCTTGTATCTTCATTTAAAAAGCAACCGTTGTGAGTAAACATCAAGTTTACTACCAACACACTGCTGTTGCTATAGCTGTCATATTATAAGCTAGTAAATACCCCGACAGAACAGCTTTTTCACATAGGTTATGAAATTATAGTCTGTGTAAGCAAAGGCTTTCTCTTTCCGAGGTTACCTTCTGCCACTAGTTTTGCTGCTCGTGATTTCTGACAAACACTCCAAGCTGAGGCACTGCAAAAAAATGGGCGTAGGGGATGGAGTTCTGCAAAACAGAAGATCTAGTAGAAAAACAAACCAGGGGTTTCCCTCATCTCTGTGCCAACTTGGGCTTGGATTTGTAATTCATCAGCATCTGCCAGATCGTGCTAAAACATGCATGGTGATGAGTAGCCAGAAAAAAAAAAAACAACACCCCACAACTAAAAAAACCACCACCACATTCAAAAAACATTACAACTTGCAGAAAAGCACAGTCTGTGACTGGAAATTTAACTTGGGAAGAAGCTTCACAAACACTTCTTCATTTAGAATAAGAGAAGAAAAAGAAGGAAGGTTCTTAAAGTTGGTCTCGGCTCTAGCAACAGTAGCTGTGATGGGAGAGGGGAGAATACTGCATTCTTAAATAATGGAGACTTTTTTTTGTGCCATGTGAGGAATCTGTGGTCTTTCCGATACCTTAAATCAGCCTTTTATGCTGAGACATGAAGTCTCCAGCCCATGCTGGTGAGCCATTGCTGGACTGACTGGAGACCTATAATTACAGCAGCAACCTGAACGTTTCTGGCTTGTCATCGGTAAATCTCCCAACACAAAGAATCAAGCCCAGCTAGTTCAGTGACACATCCTAAAAAAACGTTCCCCAGGCATACAGCATCAGGGCTGTCGCTGGGAACTTCCTCCAGCTAACCACTTGCTTTCAGGTAAAAGTGCTCCATAGCCAAAAAGTCATACACCTGACTATCAGAATGTATGCAGAGCTGCATGTCTAGCCCAGGATAACTGGAATTTATGGTATTACTTAGGTTGCTGAAAAGGCCAGAGTGAGTTGTAAACCAATTTGCTGGAACTGGTGTGTTAGCCATTCCATTACATTCTAATTCAAGGCTCCTGCTTGCACACCACAACACAGCAGAGAGCACGTGGCAACACTCAGCAAGGCTTGGGCCGTGCCGGCTCTCCGCCAGGGCTGAGGACAGGGAAGAACGGCGTTTCCTTAGGGAGACCAGAGCAACAAGGAAACAGGGGAGAATTCCCCTTGCTCTGGCACCAAGGCTATTTCCTCCAACGTTGCTCTTCTTGCTGTGTCATGGTGACAAGACAGAGATGCTCCTTGTGCTGCACGGAGCTGGGGATGGAACAAACTTTGCAAGAGAACAGTGTTTCCTCACCTCCCTCGGGTTCTCCTGGGACACGAGGGAGTTCAGATCCCACTGCGGGTAGACAAAACCAGGCAGCATCATTGGGTGGTGCCTCGCTCACCTGCTAGGCAGCATGGAGAACCACGATTCAAGACACAAAGGTGTCTGAGCACACCAAAGAGAAGGGACTTGCCTTCCCTGCTGCCTCCACAACTGAACAGCATTATCTGTCTCTTAGGCCTTGCTCATGCTGCCACCATAATATCCGAGTGCCTCCCAGACTAATAGACTGCCATAACGAGGTCCCTACTAGACCTCATGGAGTCTTCTGCTCTCCTCCCTGCTCAGGTGTCGGGAAGCACCACCTGGGGTAGGTTTTTGTTGTGGTTTTTTTTTTTCTGCCTAGAGGGAGGCATGTACGGGGAAAGCCTGCACCCATCTATAATGCCATGGCGGTTCTGGTGAAAAGGCTTTGGCTGGATGGTGGATCTCTGCTGGTTGCTTGCTTCTTTGCAGGACGTTTAACGTCACCTTTGGTACGCAGCTTCAAACAGGCTACCTGTGTCATTCTCACCTCTAGCAGGGATCTATTCCGGGCTCCAGATGCAGTAGAAGTCATGAACTCCCTCTTTGTTCCTTTTAAGGGGTTAAACAGAGGTCTGGTGATGGGTGTCTTCACATTGTTTAAAAAGAAGGCTGTGGTTTTCTTCTCTTCTAGAGTCACCCAGGGCTCTGTTTGTTTCCCCGGGCTCCGTCATGTCGTGCTTCACGCAGCTGTGGCACTCGAACACGCCAGACTCTCCCACCAGCCCTGTCCCTGCATCTCCACGTGAAATACCCATCCCTATCAGTCCCATCGTTGTCACTTCCCCAGGAGATGGCAAGAGGAAGGCGAGGTCCCCAACCGACAAGCCAGGCTCTCCAAACCCAACATCTCCAAAGCCAGCCTCCCCCGTTGAGTGTTCCATTTGCTTCAACACCTACGACAACACCTTCAAGACACCCAAGCTGCTCCAGTGCTCCCACGTTTTCTGCCTGGAGTGCGTGGCCCGCCTGAGCACAGGGCTGCCCCCAAACCAACCAGAGGACCAGCTCCCCTGCCCCTTCTGCAGACAGCTGACCAGCATCCCTGTGGAAGGTGCCCCAGCACTGGAGACCAGCAAGGACCTCCTTGCCACACTGCCTCCTGAACTCCAGCAGGAGAAGGTGCTCTGGATGGATGGGACCAAGCTCTGCTGCCGGCAGTCATCTGACGACCCTGAGAATCCAGACTCGTGTATCTCCATCGACGTCGCCATGAGCAAGCCCGAAAGCCCGGAGGCCCCCCCGGCAGGGTTAGCCGGGAGGCTGTCCCGCTGCGACATGTGTGACGACTGGAAACGTATAGTCCTCCTCTCCGCGCTGATCATCATCCTGTTCTGCATCATTCTGTGGCCGGTCCAGTGTGCCCTGAAGACGGGGAACCTGCGCTGCTTCACGAGGACTGTGGCGATGAGCCGGCCAGAGTACCTTCCCCCTAAGCACACCACGGCGGCAGCCCCGGTGACACAGCTCCCGTTCCAGTAGCGGCGAGGCGGCTGCTTGCTCCGTCCGGCAAGGCTGGGGCTCCATCCCCGCAGCGTGCCGGGGAGGCAGGAGCAGGGCTGCCACCCCAACAGCATTCCTTGGTTTGCTGGCAGACCCCGCGCTCCTCCTGTGCCTGCACTTGAACACATGCATCCAGCCACAGGAGGTCTGCTGGAATACCTGCCAAGCCGTCTCCAGCCCAGGAACGCTCCGAGGAGCTGCCTCAGCACCCTGCTGCCGAACTCTCCGTGGACACCAGAGCTCCAAAAGCAACAGCCAGGTTTCTAGGGCTGTTTGCCTCAAGTGGCACACGGCCGTGTGCTGTCTTGGCTGGACACCAGGGGACAGTGGCTCCGGTTCCTCTGACTCCCTAAGGGAATAAAGGGCTATTTTTGCAAACTGAGGGATCTACATGATTATTCCTAAGAGCAGCTGGGATTGGGAGGGTGAAGACATGTCCAAGTCGTATAAGCAGATGAAAATGATCCTTATTCCACAGGCTTGAAACATTTCCGTTGCGTTATTCAATGCTGGAGGTGTAAATGCTGCCTCCTGCTGACAAACAAACCGTGGGTCTATCGCTGCTACACCTGAGTCACGTTACCACCCTGAAGAGCTTTGAACAAAGCAGAGTAGCCATTCTACTCGTTTTTCATATGATGATGGTTAAAAATCACTCATCCCTACCTGGGAAGCGATTCTGAACACGGGGGGTGAGTCAGGCCCACTGACACAGCAGTCTAACCCTGCCCTCAAGTTACTTCATCAGCAAACCTCCTTCATGCTTCTCACAGGCAAACTGCTGCCAAAACAAAAGAAGTTCCATTTTTTGACAGCTTTGCTCTCCTAATCCTAAAGGGTGTCAATATTAAGACACAGGCCAGTTGCTTACACTGTATTTTTACTTATGCAGTGATTAACAAAAGTCTTCGTGATGAAGGCAGCTTACAATTAAATGTTTTCTATTCAAACATATGGATATAAGACAGTATTGTATGCAAGTACCATACGTGTATGTATTAAATTATGTTTTATACAATGCAAGGTGTCAATCTGTAGCAATTACTCCACATTTCCCTTCTTACTTGCAGTTGGAGGTGTTCACTTAGCAGTCCCGAGTCGAGTCCAGCTGCATTCCCAGACCATGGTAGCTACACAGCAGGTGACATGTCCGTACTCTGGCCCATGTCTCAGCTGTACCAGGGTTGTACAGTCCTGCACATGTGGACAACTTTATCCTGTAAATTCATGCTTACTACCATCTAGGTGGCAGTGTCCCAGGTGCAACCCTCTGGGTTCACCTGATTTGACCTGAAAAAACAGAACCTGCAAAGACTGCTCATCTTCTGCTTCTTCCCAGCTGGATGAGAGATGCTTCCAGTCTCCCTTTCCAGAAAATCTAATTTGAAATAGAAAAAGTTGAAGCAACGGCAGAAGTAACTCAAGTCTGCTGCTATGCAAAACTTCTGTGGAAAGCTGCTGCGTGTGCTGTATCTGCAACACCTTTGTTGCTCAGTTGCAGGCTGGTATTATCTGTGCCAGCCACATGTCTGCAGAAACTACTCCAGGCACTGTAACGACTTCTGCCAAAGTCATTGGGCTTGACAGGGATTTTCACTTGTATCATCCTGTCCATTACCCCGTGCTTGCCACTGAAAGGATATCTTCACAGCACCAATTTAAGTGCGTTCTTGGAAAAGGTGACTCACCAAGACTAAGGCAGAGAAGGCACTTCTGTTTTACCCAAGGTGCATTTGGGACTAAGTCCAGCAAATAGACACTAGTAGAGATGAAGTGCTTGGTCATTGCATATTTTTTACCATTCATCTCCCACTGATGAGACCTAAGGGCAGGGCAGAGGGAAATAACATCTTCAGCCTCAAAAAAATCTATTGTTACGGTGGCAAACGGACCACAGAGATGTTCTCACAGTTCCAACTGTTCCTAGTAGTCCCTCACAGCATCCTTGGGGGCTGTCCCTTTGCACTTCCCCTTCTCACCATGTGCTTGGAAACAAAGCTTGAAGGTTTAGCTAACACACAGCCGAAATTCTCACTCGTGCATAGTCAAAAAGGAAGATTCAAAGCAAGTGAAAACAGGGCCCTGAAAAGTAGCATTTGACAATGGGAGTCATTCAGGATACCCCATTGTCCACACCGTCAGTCACTTTCCCAAAAAGCAAACTATTTAAAAAGAAAGAAAGAAAAAAAAGCCTTGAGAATACTCAACATTTATTAAAAGTGCAATAAAAATAAACAATTCTCCTGTCCCTGTCACAAGGGACCAGAAAGACCAGCCAGGAAATACAGCCAAGGTATGTCATTGTGCTTTCGTTCAACCTCTTCTGCTCAACGCTTGGAGCCAGCACTCCAGGCACTAATACCCCAGCAAGTCCATCCAGTTCCAGAGAGCTAGGAGGACTTCCACATCAGCCCCATGCATGCTCTGGAGGTTGAGGCACAGTCACTCAGACCAAAGGCTCCCCACAGAGCACGCATCCAGACACTGATGAACCCTGCAGGAAGGGCTTCTTTGGCAGGACTATTTGCAGGCTTTAAGGCTGGAACAGCAGGAAGCACTGGCAGTCACAAGTCAAGACTTATCGACAGAGGTGAAATACTCCACTCAGTGACACACTCATCTTCATGACACTGGTCAAGTCACAAACACTCCCACAACACCTCTACTCAGCAGACACACCTGCCTTGTTGTACAGTTGCAGGTGGGAAGAAAAGAGGTCATGTAGCAAGGTAATGGCAGAGCTGCATCAAGCTTACAGGGGCCTGGCCCAAAAAGTTCAGCTCAGCTTAGTATCCTAGGCTGTTACTAGCTAGGGGTGGTTAAAAGCACAGTGCATGGTCAAAGCTGCTTTCCTACTCTTCAGCACATCAGCTAGGTGGGATTTCGCTTAGCTCAACATTCAGACCAACACAGCCAATGATGGAGATGCTCACCTCTGTCTCTCAATTCTGCTTATGAAACCCACGTGCAGAGCAGACTCTCTGGCACACACACACACGTCCGCTGTACTACAGCAGCACGGACTGCTCGGTGTGCTTTGGCAGGGTTGCATAGAAATCTAGAACCAGTACAGCCAAAAGGAAGTGTGAGAAGAAGCAAATACCCGGGTCCAGGCAGTGCTCTCTATTTCTCACCCTCACAGGCAGCAAAGCTACTCCAGGATTTAGTCTAAACACACTTCTAGCTTAGAAATGATTGACCTAATGAAAATATTAAAGTGTACTAACATTTTACTAACGTCCTAAGTGAGCAACCCTGGGAGAGCTCCTAAGCAAATAGCCATTTCTGTTCCTTTTAACAATTTGTGTGTAAAAAATAAGAATCTTAAATTAAAAAAAAAATAAATCAAAACTGAGCCTTGATGCCCTGATGAATGTCCAGAGGCACTTCCACATAAATATCAATCTACTGATACAGGGGAGAATGGGAGAAGATCCTTCTCACGAATAAGTTAGGTCAAGGCGTGTTCTTAGGTGCAGACTCTGCTTTCTTCTTATGGTCAGCTTCTTACTTCCTCGCTGAACCCAAGGTGCTTGGGGAAGGCAAGACAGGCAAAAA